TGGTTGTGTCTTAAATATATTTTTATTATGATAAAATAGCTCTCATGTCAAAATGCCTAAGTATCACAGTAATAAATATATAATAAATACTTATATCTGGAGTGAACCTTGACATATATAAGATATCATCTCATGATTTACGTGACTTTTTTTTTAAGTGTTGGCTCGTGTCCAGTCATAGGAATGTATAAAATATTTATCACCGAGTATGTATAAGAAAAAAAGAGAGAGGGAGAGAGAGAAAGAAAAAGAGAAAGGTAAAAAAAAAAAAGATGTAAAATGGACAAGACAATCTGAGAAGTAACCAAACAAGTCTCAAGTCTTATTTCCTCAAAGAAAACAAGCTCCTTCCCTCACGTCTTCTATCCTAATACTGAACACGGTGCCTGACTGTTGACTGGAATATCGCACTCCCCCGCTCCCCACACTGTAAGCTCTATGAAGACACTGAATGCTGTTTTCTTGGTGCCTAAAATAGTGCCTGGCACAAAGCAAGAACTCAATATGATCTGCTAAATGGATAGAAGCACAGACCACTATTTAATTCAAATAAGTACTGAATGAAGCAAGGTTTCTTTAAATTCCTGCTCATATGGACTTGGAAGAATGAATATGAGAAATATAGGTATTAGAAAAAATACTATAATTCTAGTTAAAATAGGAACTATTAGACATGATGCTATTCTATTAATACTGTAGCAATAAAGGAATTCAAAGGGAAATGTCATTGGTCTGGGGGCAGTGATCTACGTCAAATTATCTCACCGTAAAAATGCCTGAAGATACTTCAGAAGATTTCTGTATATCATTTAGATAGTGGTATGACTTGAGTTGCCCATCATTTAAATAGGCAGTGGTCAGAACACTTCAAAAATCATACATATACCCAAGTAATTGAGGTGTGTTTTGTTTTCATTGGTCATAGTTTAACTTTACAGGAAAATCTGTAGTAATACTTTAACTTAAAACAAGCTCAGAAGAAAATTACCAATACACTCTTACTTTTATTTTCTTTTGTATTTATGAAGAAAATTCTATTTTAGAAGCCATTTTTTTCTTCCAATAACAAAAAAAGCAAAAGAGCTGTGGCCAGTGTGGCTCAGTTGGTTGAGGGTCATCCCATGCACAGAAAGGTTGCTGGTTCCTGGTCGGGATACATGCCCAGGTTTTGGGTTCTATCCCCAGTAGGGGGCATATATGAGGCAGCTGATTGATGTTACTCTAACATTAATTTTCTTCTCTTTCTCTCTCTCTCTAAAAATCAAATTTTAAAAATCTTAGAAAAAAAGTAAAAGATACTGACATAAACTTGTGATTTTTAAAAAAAGACTCACAAGTTATCATTGCATGTATGTACCATATATCAGCAATAAAAATTGTTTAATGCATTTCTGAATTTTTCCAATGTCTCAAAAAGAGAAAAGAACAAACATTTTAAGTCATGAATTTCTCATGGTTAAGCTTCTCAAAACACTTTCAGTGAGAGTGGAATGTTTATACTGATTAGCAGAGATATATCATTTGGACAGGATTTCCACTCAACTTTCTATCTTGCCCTATAGTGTAGATATAACACGAATATTATATAAACCCATCCCAGGAATACCTCTACTAAGCTATTGAGTACTCACACCATAATTATATGAGGCAAATAATTCTTACAACACACAAATTTCCCATGTAAATGTCATTGTAAATCAGTCAAAAAGCAGATATATTACTTAGTATAATTAACAACATTTATACAGTATAGTTATAACAGGCATGGATGACTACTTTCATAAATGCATTCAAACTATAGCAAGCTATGGGAAAGTCTTCAAAATGTAGTAAGTAAATCATTGTATAAACTATGCTCTGAAAAGTATAGGTTTGCTTCTAATTCTTCTAAAGATCATTAGCAACTGAAATATATCATTAAAAATTCCATACCATGAAGACCAATCATAGTTAATATAACGTAGGTTTAGAAATAAACCTACTTATTTTTTCTTTCTTGTCACTCCCCATTTTTGCTTCCCTAAATCTCTCCTTCCCCAAAGGAAGTTGAGGAAGTAAAAGGAAGAGACATTTTAAGCTATGTCATCTGCATGTCTATATCTTCACATGTGCCTGTTCCCTGATATTATAAGTATTTTGAAAGAAAAGGCCATGTTTTTATGTTGTCAACTACCAGGATCCAGTTTGAATGGATTCAATACAGTTCATCCAAGATAACAGGAAAAAAATGATATAAAGTTTCTGTGTTTATTTCTCATTAGCGGGTAGTCTAAATAGTTATAGGACATATAAATATCTTATTAGACAGAAACTTGGTAGCTTTGACATCTAAGTTATGGCCCTCATTTAATGTGAAATAAATGTTTTCATCACCTGATGGGGTAGGGTGAACTGTAGCTATCGGTTTCTTGATGGCTCTATTGTGAATACTTTAGAAGAGAGGAGAGGTTTAATATTTTCTTTAATCACATTCTTCTCTGTTCCCTTTGACAATGGAGGGCAGGTGAAATGTTTTCAAAATCTGGAGGATACCCAATGCGCATATGCCATCTTGATTAAACATATGGAATACAGACTTGGTCCAACGCCAAGGGGAGACCTGCGTGAGTAATCTAAACACCCGAGCCGAGAGGGGTTGATATAGAAAGATCAGCTCTGTGCTTTGAAGTTTCTGGATTTCATTTTGCCTAATTAAGACAGGATTTCATAATCAAACCACTGTACAAACAGGTACCTAAAAGTATAGGTTTGTTTCTAATTTTAGGACGAATTCTTAACAGATTCCAGGGAATCGGCTCCACATGGGAGAAGGGCTCTGATAAATTTTCCTTCCTCGTTGCTCAACTGCAAACGCCTGCTTTCCATCTTAGTTCCTACCACGTGATGGAGATGAGCATCGCCTATGGAAACCTCAAGTGGAATACCAAAGTATGAAAACTCCGATACCAGCATACCGTTTGAGTCTGAAACAGTGGTCACTCTAGGTCAGTGGTTGGCAAACTGCGGCCCCTTGAGTGTGGCTCTTCCACAAAATACCACGTGCGGGCGCGCACGGACAGTGCGATTGAAACTTCGTGGCCTATGCACAGAAGTCGGTATTTTGTGGAAGAGCCACAGTCAAGGGGCCAAAGAGCCGCATGTGGCTCGCGAGCCGCAGTTTGCCGACCACTGCTCTAGGTCATAAAACATGTATGCCAAAATATTCTTAAAGATATTCATAGGAATCTAACAAATATCCAGATCAGAATATTACCAGGCAAAAAGTAGGCTTCCCAATAATTCCTTCCACATACGTTTTTCTCACTAGGCACAGGACCATTTTTCAAGAATACCTGGCAGTGTTAAGTAGTGCTGTGAGTCCACAAACAAACTTATTCTACCATCACACAGCAAACAGATGCAGCAGCACATTTATGTCCATGGGTATTACACCACTATACAAGCAGGAAGCTGGTCCTCCTACGATAAGACTGATTTGATACAAAATAATTTGATAATTTAGAGAAATGCGATAGTGATAAAAGAGGCATTAATCTGATGATATAAAGGAGTCTGCAGTAGACTGAAAAATGGCAAAAGAGGTAGTTTCTAGTTGCCACTGCTAGCAACCTACCCGCACTCCCCATCCCACACAAATATGCATAATTTTTTAAAGCATCCAAGGGCGGGGCTGGAAGAATTTCTGTTCAGTAGTGTCATCTTCAGCCCATGCTTCTCCCTTCATGGCTCTGCCTTGTCAAGTGGAGGCCAAAGAGAAGCGATGCACTCTAGGCCAGTGATGGCGAACCTTTTGAGCTCGGCGTGTCAGCATTTTGAAAAACCCTAACTTAAGTCTGGTGCCGTGTCACATGTAGAAATTTTTTGATATTTGCAACCATTGTAAAACAAAGACTTATATTTTTGATATTTATTTTGTATATTTCAATGCCATTTAACAAAGAAAAATCAACCCAAGAAATGAGTTCGCGTGTCACCTCTGACACGTGTGTCATAGGTTCGCCATCACTGGTCTAGGCCCACCTGCAATCAGGTAAGCAGATGAGAAAACCCCCTTCTCCTACTGCTCTTACAAAGATGAGTAGACCTTGGCCCATGAGGTTTTGCTTTGTTTACAACAGAACAAAACATTGTAATACTAAGCCAGTTTTAAGCTATCGGTAAACAGGACACCACTTCTCAATATGATACCTCAATATATAATGCCTCCATAAGGCACTTGTAGGTGATACAGTACAAAGATGAGGAGATAGAATCTTGATATTCAGGACCTTAATATTCTCCAGGAATGAGAAGATTCTGTTTCGTACGTCAACCATAGCAGAGCCTAGTAGCAAAACTCTGTAGGCCAGTTTAGCTTAAAAGTTCATTGAAAACGCCTCACCAGCCTGCCTGTTGCTGTTAGACGGCAATCACTGCTTGTGGTTGCCTCAGCAGGAGACTGTCTAAGGATGTGGTATGATGCAGACGTTCGTTCGCTGTCCGTTCCAGCCACAACAGGGCTGCCAGGAGGAAATGACCACAAGGTTCTGAGAAACTGTTTTAAACACTGTTTGGAACAAAGTGGGGAATGCTAAGAAAACAGCTCTAACATGGCTACATACAAGTTGCTGGAAAATACCTTGTTGGCTAACCTTGTCATTTCTGCCAGCACCTGGGCAAACCTTTTGAGATGTCAATCCACCACCTTCAACTCTGCCTCGAGCCTTTTCTGCAATAGATACGAGGCTCTGCACACATGTGCCTGCATGTCCTTATGTATTAAAATAGGTGCTCAGTCATAAAAGACCTTGCTCATCTACAATCTCAAAATTGCTGCAAATGCTACTTCATGAACGCAAAGATGTGGAAAAACCCGGTAGTGTTATGGTATCCTTGAGCCCGGATGGCAATCTCCTTTGAACTATGATATACACCAACATTCTCCCCTTGAGTGCATAGACCAAGGAAGAGAACCCCAATTGCCTCCATGGTGGTCATGACACTCTGACTTGGGAGCTTACTTTATTCATGTGGATCTGTTGCTGGTATTGCTTCTGCTTCTCCAAGAACTGCTGGTGTTGCTGCTGAATGACCAGCTGAGCCAATGTGCTCTGAGGCAGCGGTGCAGACTGGGTTCGATTCAGGGGTCTGTGACGGGGTAATTTGTGGGTACCTCTAATGCCGGGTGAAATTCTCTCTTTTGCTGCCAATGGAGACTGAGGATGTAAGGGAACTCCACCTGAAAAAAAAAGTATCCATGTACACATTTACAATTTTGCTTAAGAAAACCAAGAATCTACAGAAAACAGGCATAAAGGATACACAGGAAGAAAGCTAGGTTGGATGGGGTGAAGGCAGAAGTGCCAGAGCATTGAACAGGCATGCATCTGACCAATGACTCACCCGTACTCCACTCTGGTATGTGAAGGTTAAATAAGGTCAACCTTTTTTTTTTCCATGGAGCTAGAAAAATAACTAAGGATTATAGCCTTTCCCACAGTACCAGGTATCAGGGAGACCTTGGTAAATGGTAAATCTTTTCAGTGTCTTGAGTTAAAAAGACATCACATTGCATTGCTGATAAAATAAAAGCCCCCATATGATCTCCAAATGGCGCCCTTGTTAATTACCAGCTACAAGAAGCTTCTGCTGTCGCATTTGTTCTTTCAACAGTAAATGCTGCAGGAGAGCCTGGTGGCTGCTGTTGGGCTTCCCCTCGAGAGCGGCGTGGGGATGGCTGGAAGATGCCGGCAGGCTGCCCCCATACTGCCCGGGCAGCGGAACGCCTTGCCTAAGTGTCTGGGCCTCGCACTTCTGTTTTTCTTTGAGTGAATTTGAAGCCTGTGTCAGGAAATAATAAAGATGTGAATCCTCTTTCATCCATGTGGCTCATTAGGTTTGCACATCATTAGCTGTTTTATTCCATACCCCATGGCACTCCCCGCCAACCCCGCAAAAAAAAGACCCATCTTACCTATGGCTCAGTAGGGGAAATGGATAACAGCCATGTATTTTAAACTAACTGAATTGACACAAGAGACATAAAGGTAGAGTTGAAGCATTGGAGACAATTGAGTATTGGGTATCACTGTTCTGAATTTAAAAAGATCTTTAACATTAAAAATGATGCTGCCTGGGGGGTGTGGCTCAGTGGTTGAGTGCTGACCTATGAACCAGAAGGGTATGGTTTCATTCCGAGTTAGGGCACATGCCCGGGTTGCGGGTTCAATTCCCAGTAGGGGGCTTGCAAGAGGCAGCCAATCAATGATTCTCTCTCATCATTTGTGTTTCTATCTCTCTCTCTCCCTTCCTCTCTGAAATCATTAAAAAATATATTTTTAAAAAATGATGCTAATTTCAGGCTTAATAACTAAGAAGTTTATTTCTAAAATAGTTTAATATACCGATTAAGTACAAGGTATATTGTAAAATTAAAATTTATTGAAATTTCTAACCTAAGGACACATAACAGCCATTAAGAAGAGATAAAATGGTCTGTGATTTTGGAGTCTCAAGCAGAAGGGACAATTGGTCCTTTTTCTACTCCTCCTCTAATAAGTTCACAGAGCTGTAAGTTTCCAATATTTAATTTTTCAAATAAAATTCTTCAGGTAAATCAATGAGAGGTTGTAAAAAACATGCAGGAATCTGGTTTAAACATGTATTTTATATTAATTCATAACAGATCCCCAAATCTCTAAATATTGAAAATGACACTCCAGATACTTTCATTTAATAAAATAAACTACAAGTGGAATTATATAAAATAAAAACACTATTAAGAACTTGAAATGTATGATAACAGTAATAAGGCAATAACAATTATATCATCAATAGTAATAATGAATTATCCTAGTCAAATAACTTAATGAATGGTGGTCATGTGGGTATTACAACAGCAGAAGTCTAATGCCTCAAAATTATGTGGCATGTTTCTTTTCAAAACTCATGTTTCATCTTTTAAAATTGCTGTGCACCAGGGGAGCAAAGCAATTTTCAGTGATGGAGAAATTAAAGGACAAAGAGGTAAATGGTTTGTCTTAGTCACACAGCCAGTCAACGCAATGTTTAATCTAGAAGTGATTCCTTCTCCTGGCCTCTTTTCCTTAAAAATTTCCCACTACTCAGTGGGGAAATGGAACATTAGAGGTCCCTTTGCCAAAGCCTTGCTAAACTTGAGAAATTAATTGTGATGGCCTCATCCACACCAAAATGGAAGCAAAGAAAAATGAAACTTCAATCCAAACCGCATTGGTTTACTCATCCAACGGCACCAAATTGTATTACCATCAAAACATTAAATGGTCTGGCTTTAGGACTGGGTTCTTTGAGAAAAAAATTTCCCCCTGACCACATTAAAAGTGGTGTATGTTTGTGTTAGCTGATAGGAGTGACGCAGAGCCTGCAAAGAGGAGTGGATATAAAATGCTTATTCATGTGTCATAAGTTTTTGTTTCAATATCTGCTTATCATTGGAAGAGATAGGAATAACAGGAATAGGAGAAAAACAATTTTTAGTAAATGAAGATTTGAAAATATCCATGCATATTTAAGTTTTGTTTCATCCCTAACTCCCTTTTTAGTTTTGCTAGGCCCAATTGTTTACAAATGCTTCGTGTGGAATTCCAAGAGTGTAATTGAATTTGGTATTTCTACGTTTTCCTTCTTCAATCCCCAGATATATAACAGCATCCAAACTTTGCTTTCTCCTCACTTGTGTAAGTGACTGTATCACATAAGGCAACATCCCACTCTATTAAAAATATCAAAAATATAAGGTGCACCTTAGACGCTTTTATAGTACGTATTGAACCCAACCTTCAAATGTATCATCTTATAATGTCACTATAGGTGTGCTTGTACATACATTAGCATCCTATAAACAGGTCTTCTATCCTGAAAACAAGTTAGGTCACAAAATGGTCCACTCTTTATATTGTCCTGATCTGGGAATATTATAAAAGATGTGAATTTGACAAGTTGCATGCAGTGAAAGACTTGCTTCTAAAGATTGGCAAAATTGGTGCCAATGGTTAGAACCAATTTCTCTTTAAACTTAACATATCACATCACCTTTGCATAAGCACAATTAACTTAATTTTCATACATTTCGTAGATGAATTACTCTATGAAAAGCTTACAAATCTTTTACAATGACAAAAATTTACATTATTTTAGGGAATGTGTATAAAATAATTATTGTTGTCTTCTGCTAGTTGGACAATTACCTCCAAAAGATCCTATTTCAGTTGTCAGGACTTTTAAAGTAATTTCTTCGCTTTAAGTCTCCTGGGAAGAATTTAATATTGTTCTTAAAGAGGTTTTCCAGATACGTATTCTTCAGTATGATAGAGTCAGTAACATAAATTCTCAAAATAAAGTCATTCACCAAAAAATAAATTCCATAAACATATGTGCTGTGCTTTAGACAGAAGCTACACCTCAGCACTGGCCGGGCGGAGTGCCAGGCCTGCTGCTTAGTGGCTCCGTGATCTTGGACTTTTAAACATTACTCGTCTCAGCTTCTTCTTTTGTGAAAATGTGGCTTGTAATCTCCGTTTCATGGGATGGTCGTGTGGAGCTAATAAAATAGCTGGAAAGTGCTGCTTTTTTAAAAGGCTATGAACCATTATACAAATGTGAGTTGTTATTTTTATATATTATTATGCAAACCAGTATAAATCTGTAATTTGAAATCCAACCAAACATCTTTTTGAACGACTCAGTAAACAGGGAAGGATAATGGCCTCTACCAAGTTTCCCTGAAGTCTAATCTACATATATGAGAGTCCCCCTGTGAAGGCATCACCCGGGCTGTGCGAGGCTGCTCTGAGTGGCGACTTACATTGAGCTGGGCTGATACTGCTGGCAGCCCCAAGGTGATATTGGGTAAAGAGGGAGAGGTATAAAGACTTAGCAGGTTCATGGAATCTTCGTGAATCAGAATGCGTTGCTGTGAAACCATTTGCTATAAAGAAAAGATAAAGGGAAAAACAATGAAAGAGGAGTCTCAAAAGATTACAATACCACACATTTTACTGTGGAATGTTTAGATTTCAGACAACAGTTTCATTTTATCGTATTTAGTCAAAATAATTTTAAGTATTTTGATCATTTATTTTATGATTTCTGTATCCACATGTTATAAGTAAAAAAAAAAATCAGCCCTAGCTGGTTTGGCTCAGTGCATAGAGCATCAGCCTGCAGATTGAAAGGCCTGGGTTCGATTCCAGTCAAGGGCACATGCCTGGGATTGTGGGCTTGATTCTCAGTAAGGGATGTGCAGGAGGCAGCCAATCAATGATTCTCTCTCATCATTGATGTTTCATATATAGGGTTTCCCCCCCAAAAAATGTGTACATACGCTTTGAATAATTATAAAGGCAATATTTATTATAAGAAATTTCATGTTCAAAATTGAGCTATTGGCTGTTAAAGTTTGTATACATTTTATGGTGCTCCCTGTATATCATCCTCTGAAATCAATAAAAATATATATTTTTAAAAATATCTCCAATCCTCAGATGAGGATTAAAAAAAAACTGAATCAAAATCTTCCTCAGACATAATTACAAAATCTGAAGAAAGGGCTTCCATACGTCATTTTGCAAAAGTCATTTTTATAATCCTAGCCTCATGGATAAAAATCAGTGTGTTTGTCCTCAATCAGTAAAGTACAAAAATAAAACTGAGTAATTCTTATGAGTATATATACCTTTTTTGTTTTACTGAGTGATATATACATATATATGTACATAAAATCATTATCTTTATATGGGTTAAACATCATTTTACTGATGGGAAAACTCACACAAGGAAATCTTAGATTAAATATCACTATAAAGGACTTCCATAATAATTAATCATGTCTTAATACAAAATTTGTGAATAGACAGCTGTGTAGTGCTTTTTTGATCATTCATATTTAGAAATGAAAGACAATGGTAAAATGTTATTAATTCCCTGTACCACAATAGCCTTCATTTTCACTGAAATATGCTGCACATTTTGGCATCTCACTCCTTTTTTACAACAAATACCTTTTTTTAATACAATACTCAGAGCCATGTTTTCCCACATGTGGCCTAATATGGTTACTTGAATTACATTTTCTGTTTAATTCTTGCCTCCCTCCCAGAACTCTTATACAAAAAGAGTTACAAAGGTCTTATTAGACTAAGGAACTCTGGCCTGATATGGTCCCCAAGGGAACAACATCCCTGAAAAAGAATACTCCATGTAACAGTATGACACAGTGACTGCTTTCTTCCCAAACAAAAAGCATATGGGACTCCAATAATAGACCACCTCCAAGAGGGAGATTGCACACACGGGCTTTGACTAAAGTAAATATAATAACTTGTCAAGCATGTTTGGGGGAGCTGTAGATTTTCCCCTGGACAAACCTGGGATATCAATTAACTGGGGGAAATATCATGTGCTCATACAACGCGACCTCAGACTGTCATTGAAGAGTGATGCGCCACCAAAACACAGGATGTTATTCCAAAACATCACCTCAATCAGGCGTTTGTTTGGAGATGAGTCATAGCCTTAGGATCATAAAGGCAGAAGGTTAAATGTGGATTTTTCTCATTCCAACTTGAAATTCCAAGCTAACTCCGATTTTGTTTTGTTTGTTTTTTTTCTCTAAAGAACAAATCAGATATTTGTGCATGAAAATCTAGAGGTATACTGAAACTTTTAACGTCATGTTGGCTTTATATGTAACCCTTTTCAAGGTTGTCTAAAATGCTACTGCATGAAGATGGTTGGAAAGGAGTTCCTCACTGCAATGTGCGAGATTACAATTTTATTTTAGGGGTTATGAGAAACAGCTGTGTATTTGCTCTAATTAAAACGGTAAGCTGCTATTGTGCTTACACTAATATTCTTCTAGCATAAATTTTAAGTATAAAGTAGATACCTGAACAAGAACAGAAAGAATGAATGAGGAAGTAAAAATGTTAACTAGCTCATTGACAGCATGTGGTAATCTATACATATAAAACCCTGATATGCAAATAGACCGAACAGCAGAACAACCAAACAACCAGTCACTATGACATGTGCTGACCACCCGGGGGCGCATGTAGAACATGGTGGGCATCGGTAGCAAGCAGCAGAGCTCAGAAAATGGCGGGCGTTGGCCATGGCAGGATGGTGGAGCAGGTGAGTAGGGGTGTCCGACCAAAGTGGGGCACTAGTCACTGTCACTGAGGCGAGCCTCTGGTGGTTACTGAAAATTCTTTGCTCCTGTGAGCTTCAGTCCTGCCTGGCACTCGCACCTGCTACTGGTGCTGGTCCCATCACTTGGAGCCGTCAGTGGGTGCAAGCAGCAGCTGCGGGCCCAATCGCCCCTGAGGGCTTCTCCACCTCCCCCTGCTCCTGAGAGGTGATCTGGGCAGCAGCTACCTCTTGGACCGCTGCTGGCGCCAGCCCCAATTGCTCTGACGTGAGTGGGAGCAGCGGCAGTGGCAGGAATGGGGCTGCTGGCAGAGAGGGGACCAAGGGCCATGGCGGGAGGGGCTGGGCGGGGGCATGGAGGATGGGCCGAGACCTGCCCCTGTAGGCCCATAGATCCTTTCAAGGTGCACAAATTCGTGCACTGGGCCCCTAGTTCATAATAAATTGTTATCTGTATTCATACAAGATAAATAAGCATGGAAAATGATGTAGAATATTCACTCCAGGTCCTACCTGCTTCCCATAGCACTAAGACTTAATGTGCACCATGGGAAGGACAGAAAAATATATCACAGACCTCACAATGCTGTTATCTTTGTTTCCTAGGTAGAACTTCTGTGATACCCTCCCATGCATCCCAGGATGCAAAAGTAAAATGGAAAAGTATTACTCTCAAATGGAATGATGGAAGTGGCACACGGCTACCCACGCTAAGGGGAACGAATTTCAGACCCCTGTAGTTTCGCATTAAAATGTGAGTGTGTCCATTTCCTACCATAGGGTGTTGATTCTCAGTACCTAGCATGTGCCAAGCCCTGTGCCAGGGGTTATTTTGGATGATAAACTATTTTTTCCTGAGGCATTCTCCAGCTACCATTGTGCTCATGTTATAGATGAAGAAACTGAGTTATCTCTCCAATTCTGGTTCCTAGTGGGATTGGTGATAAAACTTTAGGACTGATACAGGTGACATGACTTTTTGTCAGGGTCTGCTGCAGGAGCTATCCACCACTCTACAGCATTACTGAAGGATAAGGAATCTGGTAAAAAAAACAAACAACAAAGTATGGAGAAGAGGGAGATTTTAGAGAAGAAAAGGAAGCAAAATCAGGCCTGAGGCTTATGGGAAAGAATAGAAGTGTCCAGCTGACCTGGCCACGAGAAGAAAGCAAAAGACCTGTATCACTATGGATGCAAGGCTCCCAAGTTCACAGGGGAGAGTTGGTACTTGTCAGTTCTGCCCACAGAGACGGTGAACTTCAGAAAATAGGATGTGACTTACTTTTTTTCCTTTGATTACAGATAAGGAAGCAGGCAGAGCATTTATGTCAACTGCCAATGGCTAACATTGCAAATGACTTAACAGACCTGAAAGATGCTTTCCCCAAATTATCTTCTTTAATTATAACTTTCCACAATTTGGCTTTTTGATGGGAGCAGTCTATCAGTTCCAGGTTCATGGATCTTAATTAAGAACCTGGAGCTGTAATCTACACAGCTCAGAGGGCAGATGCACTTGAAAGCCAGGAAAACAGGTGGCGAGAGGTGCCATTTCACGCAAACTAGGAAGGATCCTGCCCAGGATTCTTGTGAGGCTGGATGGTTACCCCAGCTTAGCTCTGTGCTGAGCTCACAAGGGCTTTCAGGCAAAACCAGGATTTTTCCAGCAAGTGGTTTTGAAACAGATCCAGCCCTTAAATCAGTGCTGTGCTAGGAAGCCAGTGTTTCACATCTTAGAATGTGGGGACGATGGTTTTAATCTAAAAAAATCTTCAGGACCAGAAATGCTTGCTGCAGTCAGACCAAGTGAAAACATTAAATATTTACATGGGTATCACTTAGCAGTCACAAAGCAATTAACGAGTATCAATTAGATGAATGGTGTGGTACAGGCGGCGTGCATACAAAGAAGTCCTACAGCACCTAGATGTCCTATACCACCTAAGTTCACATGCTCTTCAGGTGCACGGAGAAGTGGAGAACTAATGCTAAAGGCCTGTAAGCATTACCATGGCAGGAGCAGGGTTAAAGACTGAAGTGGCACAGAGCAGGGTGTTGGTTTTAAACCAGGCTTTGATGGGTAACGAGCATTTCACCAGAAAGAGCATGATCCTGAGAAGAGGGATATGACTGAGCCAGGTGTCGGGGCAGGGGAGGTCTCCTCACATTTTAGTAATGATCTTCAACATTTAATTACTTTTCTCACCACCATGGTAATTGGAAGACTACCTTATGGATAACATCTGCAATCCACGTAAATGAAATACACATAGACAGAAAATAAGGCAAGGAAGTCAACAGATGACTCTTGACAACACTGGTTATGTAAATAGTAAGAAGCTCATAGAAAACGTGGATGAAGAGTTTTCAGTTTGCTGCGCGTTCAAAATGACCTACAAAATGCATGAGCTTTAGAAAAAGAACGGTCTTATCTAGAGTTCTGGTGAGAAATGGTCAGGCCTAGTGAAAAGAAGTATACGCTGAGCGTTTTGCATCTGAGCTCTACCCCTCACTGGCTTTTAACTCTGGGCAGCTGCCTACCTACCTTGGACATCAGACCCTGCAGTCTACGACGGAGGCATCTCTGACTAGTCTATCAGATAATGTCAGTGTCTATTAGAATAGCATCCAGGCATAACCCATGGACACAAACAATAGTGCTATGAAGGCCAGGGGAAGGGCTGAGGAAGGGGTTAAGGGAGGGAGGGGGCAACTGTAATACTTTCTACAATAAAGATAAATTAAAACACACACACACAAGAATAGCTTCCATGAAGATGTCTGTTTTGTCTTTAGAAGGTCCCAACCCCCAAATCTAAACTATCTAAAAAGAAGATACCACATTTAAAAACAAACAAATCTCCTAATCTTTCAATGTTTGCCTGTGGCTTTCACATTATTTTTCTAGATAGTATTTATTTTCTCCTCTCCTTTCAGACAGCTGATAGAAAAATGAAATAAGCAGTAAAAAAAAAAATCTCTAAATTTTTATTTTGACTGAAGACTCTATTACTATAAAATGGTTTGGAGACCAAAAAGAAATTATCATTTAACAAGACTTCCTTTGCATTTAAAGGTCTTGCTTTACAACGTTGACTCATGTTATTCCTAGAAAAAGATTCATTTGTCATAGCAACCTCTTTTCCCCCAGGGGGAGAAAGCGGGTTTTCATGCCCTGCCATCTAAAACCATAGCCCTACACCCACTCAGGAGGGAGCATAACATTTACAACAAATGTCACAACAATGATTATGAAGCCATAGGCAGATGAGTCATGTGAGAACAGCCATTTCCGATGACTTTAAAGTCCTTAACCTTATTATTAAAAAATCCTTTTAAAAAATCGTTTGTATCTTAGTGGAAAAAATTATTTAAAAAATAGCACAGCAGAGCCAGCCACTAATGTTCAACTAGAAATAAACCAGCTGCTTGGCTACTGTTACAACAGCTATCAAATAAATCCACGAAACTAAAATAATGGTGTTGAGATTCGTGGAAACATATTTGAGCCCACAAGCCTGCCGTATTAACAATAAAGTAACTAGATAGGTAAAGACATCTCTGACTGGAGTTGGGAATAGAAACTCCTTAGGTTTCAGCTCCCCAGCCACGTGTTCCAACGCGTAAAGGAGGTAGCTCCAACCATCTGAGTTTGGACTGAGCATATGTAAGAAAGAGAAGAAATGGAGCAGAAGTGGTCAGAGCAGACGGAGGCCCATTCGCACATGCGATGTGCTGGCTGGAAGACAAACATGCTAATGAGTTTTCCCTATGAGGCATCCGTGCTGATAACAACAACAAAAAATGAACTTGCGCCCCACTTCCAATGTACCACCTGCCTGGCAAACACTGATTCCGCCCAACAAGCCGTGGGGGTAGGTGTGACTACTTTCACTAGACCTGAGATCCAGGCCAAGTTTAAGGACTTAACCAATGACAACAAAGTAGTTGGTTATCAGACGAGGTTCCCAAGAAGCCTTCTGAAAGGAAGACCTGTCCACATGAATTCGCGGTTCTGTTCCCTTATTCTGGACTTATGAGTCAATTCTCCTCCGACTTGTGCCTTAACCTTTACCTAAATTATGCAGCACGTGTGAATTACAAGGCAGAAAACTGAGAAACAAGCTTGCTTTCCTCGTTCCCAAAGAGCAGGAGGGATTAGAATCCCTTTCATTTACATGGACTCTGAAAGAATGAGGTGACACGCTTTTCTACTCACAGGACACAGAATAAAGAATTCATTCGCACATGTACGGTTAAATTATTTTCAAAGAAAAACTCACCCCTGGTACTTAAGCAACTTACACTATTTTGTAAATGGTGAGGTAGGCAACTCACTTGATTTTTGAAAGTGTAGTTAATGCTATTAATTTTCCGGACCTCCAACATTGGTTGATATAAAATTATATGTTATTATTAATCTTAGAATATGCCTTTAAAAATCATACTAAGTTCAAAATGGTTGTTAATCAAGAATTGACTGAACATATTTTGTTTATCTCTTCTTCAGGTTAAGTGGAAGTTTTCAGTGTAACAAAGATATTAATTGGCTGAGAGTCTGAGCTTGACTTGCGTTGTCTCCTCACCTCTCCAGGATGAGTTACATTACAGACCCCTTGTAAACGCAACGCAGCAGAAAACCACATGTTAGCCATCAGGGTGGAATTTTTTGTTCTGGGCCACGGAGAGGCTACCCATCAGGGTAGAAAGGTCTGCCCACCTGGCCTTTTGGTTCATAGTTCAGGCACACAATTAATTCATTATGGGGTAAGTCACTACTTGCTTTTGAACTAGTCTTTCCAGCTTTGGAAGTGAATGTCCTGGCACTGACCTGAAGAAATACCTCTGCTCCTTCACACTGCACTAAATCACATTTCCTTCTGGTTTGGTTTTTATTTGTTTTGTGGTTTTTATTTTTTTGTGGGATTTTTTTTAAAACAATGGGGGTGGAAGGAAAGTTTCTAGTGACAGAAGATGTTCAACAATTAGCTGAAATTCTTGGGCATCTAAACAAATATTTGTGACAGTCAACCTTTTAGGAATATAAAAAGGACAGCAATAATATAAGCAAATTCCTTTCCTTTACTAATACATTCTCCACTGTACCTATTTTGAAATTTAAAGATAGGATCATGAAAAGCTTGAAGGAAAGAGGAAACTCTCACCTTTTCCATGTGTTTCCAATCTCATGAGTATATAATATTTCTTGGTGGTTCCTTCATGTGGTACAAAGTACTACACGGACATAGGTGTTTATAATGGATGAATATATGCATCTTCCTCTTTAGTAACTGACCGTGTCCCTAACCCCTTCTTCCCTCCTGGGAGCTAACCGCCATGCTAAACGTTGTGTTCATCACTCCCTGGCCTTTTTAAAATATACTGTTACTGCATATGGTTTCCTGATCAAAATGCCACGCTGCTGCTTCTGAACCTATAAAACACTGCCATGCTGGGAAGTGCTCGTCTGCACCTTTTTGCACTAACAATGCATTTCTGGGACTCACACATGCTGTCGAATGTGGTTTACTGTGTCATTTTTCTTTTCCCAAGGGCAAATTCATCCAGAGCCAAACCCTTTAGAACCCTTCAGTATTCCAGCTAGTACCGACAATCACATTCTTTAAAATGACAACGGATGGAAATCTGACATTCTTAAGAAATAATTGTTACCAAGTTGTTCTTTTCCTGTAAATGGACTAAAGGGTTGCTGAAAACTGACCAATCCTGGAGATATAATTGCACTAACACATACAATACCTATAACCAAAAATCCCACTTACATCTATGGCCACAAATATATGTGAGGTATTTATTCCATCAGGCATTATGTTTTAGTTAAGATAATAAAAAAGGGAATGAAGAACCACAGTATAGTAAGAAACAAGAAACAGATCAAGGGCCTGGAGAGAATGTAGAGGCCAGAATTGTTATTCTTCAATTAGTTCAACAATGGTTACAAGCAAGACAGTACCTATATATTCTACCCATTTTTCTCGGAAAATTGACGGACATTTTTGAAATTTAGGATAAATGTATATTTCCCTAGAAAGGATTTATGTTTTCTTTTTTCCAGAAACGTAGGGGAACTCCAAATCTGGGGCACTTTAAACCAAATTAACAGTTTGAGGTTCTGTAAATTTGGGTTATAACTCTATGCAAGGACTAGGTTTGGTTACAATTTCTAAGGGAAAGATTCTACACCACTGTGGTCCCATCAGGACACGTCTGGGGATGGGGTTGTCAATGTTGCATAGATATGGGCCTTTGGGGCCCCACCTTAAGGTTTGGAGGGTCTCCTATTGCATTATCCTCCTTGGTCAGTATTGGCCTTTTCTTTCTACCTCCTGAGTTTTGTGAGGCCCGAAAACTAAAACCCAAGTACACATGTGTCCTAGGAGCAAAAGTGACCTCATTGGCTTCAGCCCTTTGCTTTCATGGATACACTCTGGGTTTCTGCTTTCAATTATATTTTAGTCAAATAATTTAGAAATAATTTATTATAAATCTGTGTGCATGTGTGTGTGAGTATGTGTGTTAGAGACACAGATTGTGGCATAAGATACAGAGGACATTTCTGTCAGTCACGCTCCTGTCCCAAATCAACAGAATTATTGTGGGAGACAGTGAAGTGAGCTTCCTGTTGTGCAAGTAGAAGTGTTCTAGTAGAAGTTTCGTAATTACATATCAGGAAAGCTCTACAGGTGATCCAAGAAACAGATATTTGATCAGTCTATTTCAGCCTCAAGTTACCATGACTCTATAAAATACAAGGGAAGAAGCATGTTACAGTTATAAATGAGAAGTTAGCGCACCAGCTTTTCCTGTATAAAGCAATGCATGGGAAGGAGGCATTACAATGACAGAAAAGAAAAACAGAGAGTTTCAATCAATTGACAGCGACTTCAACACAGCTGATTCCATAAGAGCAGCTATTTCTAGGCTATTGCCTCTGCTTAGCCTAATACAGAAACTCCATAGAAAAATTCTTGCTGAATCCTGACTTACTTTCCTCTTTTCTTATTATCACTGGTTTTAATAAATTATTCATTGAAAAACAAATGTTAATACACTTGATTGGATACAATCACAAAAAAACATGAGTATGTGTTATTTTAGACCAATTTTCCTTAATATTTCATTCTTCAAGGAGAAAGCCCATAACTTATTGATCTTTATATCCCTCTTGCCAGGCAAAGTGACTGGCACATAGTAGGTCCTTAAGTGTTTGCTCAGTGGAGCACATTTTTACACTGTTCTTCAACTATAATATTCCAATTTTTAAAAATTTCTCTTTAGGGTAAATGAATAAAACCTACTTTGCTATGCTGTTCTTGAGGTTTGCATGAGGTTGCTCTTATACATACTGATAGGTCTACTCCCATAAAAATAACCAAGATCCAAGCAGGACTACTGAGCTGCTCAACTTCTGGGAAGCACATACTTAGCATTGTTGCGTGTACAAGAATGACATTTCAATATTTCAAATCTGATTGTGGCCAAACTTTGTAAATAAGGTCAAGTTTACTCAATTACACATTTTATACATTTATAAGAAAAGGAACTAAAAACAGGTGGCTTTAATCTTCCATTCAGAAATGTCACTTTGTTTTCAGGAGCTTATCAAGGAAGATCTAACTTTTGGATGAACCAAAATAATAAGAGTCTTACCTCCGCATGAGGAGTCGGTGGCAGAACCGAAGTCTCATTTTCAGTGACATTTCCAGTTGGGCCATTGTTTGGGGAACTGGGACCCGAACCAGGAGAACTGCTACTGACTGAGGATTCTGAAAAACATTCGGGTGCACCAATTTATTCACGAAAAATATAAAAACTAAACTTTAGTTATACTCTAAAAAGTATACAGCCTTGAACCTTGTTTTTATCCCCTAACAGAAGGACAAGCACCATTTTGGTAAATAAAAAGAATGGTGACACATTTGTGAATATTTCACCTAAGTTTGTGGCCTTATCCCTAGTCTCTTTCCTTTGCAAAATCATTTAATATTGTGACATCCCCTATCACCTCAGGAAAGTTATATTTCTTGCCTTTATCTCTCATAAATTCCAGCCTTTATGATGCTGGGCATTTTAAATCTATCTTTATATATGAATCAAATTCAATGTACTCCAGTATTAAATGTGTTCTGCTTATCTCTGCTTACCACCACCCTCAGAGTCATTCTCACTTCCTTCTTTACCCCCAAACTAATCAGTTACTAGGTTAGTTCTATTTGTTCTTTACATGATCTCTCCTCTACTTCTGACCACCATCGGTTCGATTTAAGCCCTCAACATTCATTATTCTCTCAGGGACTCTAGAAAAGTCTGCTGATATTTCTGAGTTACTACAGTAGCCTCTTGAAAGTTTCCCCTAAACTACTGCCAGTGAGATGGGTCACAGTGAGACAAGTTTTCCCACGTGCCTGTCCACCAATAAAGGTCTGAGGCTGTCAAACAGTTTAGATTAGAAGTTTATCTGCAATGGAAAACAAACTGGATCTGGGAGACACAGATTCAGAAGGATAACCAACCTGTGCCCCAGGGAAGACAAAGATAGCTAGAGCTTATAAAGGCAAAAACCACACGCTGGAACCAAAGAAACTATTCCTATTGGCTACTTAACATGGTGTGGCACTGGTTCAGAAAGGTTTGGTCAGGTCCAGGTGATGAAACTCTAAGGTAAGAGGGAAAGGGACAAGTTCCAGAATGTACTTCTAAAGCAACACGAAAGTCCAAAATCCAAACCTCATCTGGGTGCAAAGATGTATAAGTCTGACCTCCCTAATGACCTTCAGGCTCCATTTGACATTCCCCTGCTTCCAAATGGAACTTACCATGACTTTCTGTTATTGTCCTTCCTGTGCTCTATGGTCAAATTTAAATCACCTACTCTGCATTAAGTGCCCCATTTCATGCTTTTCATTCACCTTCTCCTCCACTTTTTTCATTGCAGGCTCGATCCCACCTCGAAGATCAAAGCCTGGCTCATACACCATCTCTCCGCCAGGGAACAGGAGCTCCCAATCTGTGGTCAATATTTGCCTGACCTCCCTTGGAACACCCCTGAATTTCAACTTTCTTTTATCAAGATTTCTCTACCGAGAGGCGCCATGCCAAAGGAAAGAAGGTGAGATGGACGACAGAATTCTGATCCTGCCACCTACTTATTGTGGGATTTCATCAAGCCTTGGGTATCATAAAATTCTTAAACATATCTTGCTCACTACCTTTCTTTCTGTGTATCTTGCATACATTCTGATCAATCTTGGGTTTTTTTAACCTCTGCCTGTCTTGGTTACTTTTCTTTTAAAGAAGAAAATGCACATTTAAAAAAATCATCCTAGAAGCTTCTTTTCCACCCCCAGACTCCTAACTCCTGTCTTTCCTGTATGACTAGTCCTGACTTTTCCTTGATGTCTCACTTCCATACCCTGCCTTTAAAAAAAACAACAGGAACTATTGCCTTAAACATTCTGTCTTGTCAATTTAAAAGATCTTATTTATAAAATGTTATTTATAAGATCTTATGTGATATTCAGACAGAAGGGTTTCCTTATGTAGAATCACTGTGATAAGCACTACAATGGAAAGCAACACATATTGGAACAGGATTCTACAACTTCCCACTGGAAAAGGTCTGGGAGGAGATGTAGCAACTAACTTTCTGGGAACAATGAGAAAAAAATCTCAGAAAAGATATTGCAGCAAGGACTTAACTAAGAGTAGTTCAGGAAATGGGACAATGGAGAAGGGGGGAGTGGGAGAGAGGGCGATGGGCACAGGGATGTGCTAAGGCCTAGAACTGAAAAAATAACATGGCCTGGGTAGGGAGAAGGGCAGAAAACCTGAGTTTGCAACAGAGGAAGGTGGCAAGTGGTTCCATGTCAGCTACTGGGAGGAAAGAGGTGGTACAGGTGTCAGACAGGAGCCACTGAGCCTACGCACTGGAGGCGAGATACAGAGGTGAGCGCCAAAAAGCAAGAGCGATTTAACTGCCACGATGCTACGCTACTCTCTGACCAGATAGCAAAAATAATTAGCATTAAGATCCAAACAGAGCTCACCCAAATGACACGAAAGCTGGCAGAGAAAGGACAAGGAGGACAGGTGAAAAAAGCTGTGTGTCCTGTAATTCACATTCTCTGAACACATTTAGAGCAAGTACAACAAACCTGTTAAAATATCTACCAGTCTCTGTTCATTTACTAGAAATGTGTGTCTAATAAATGCACAGGCCTCGTTCTGAATACACATTATTATTCTCAGATGAAAAGGGGAGTCATTACCTCTCAAAATTAGGAAGAGAAAAACATGGCATTTCAAAGGAAAATAAACTCGAGTAAAACACTAGCGAATGGGAAATCCTATAAATGAGAATTAGTCATAACTCTGACAGGCATTAAGCTAAATTTCACTGCAATTTGTCAAGAATGATGTGACTGTAGAGAAAGGGCTATGATAAAGAAAAGAGATTAAGAGGAAAGTAAAAAAGAACATTAGGATAAATAAATATGACCTTACATAATAAAAATTTAAAGTTAAAAAAAGCAATTTATATGTTTTTCTATTTACTTCAAGTTTTTCTGTTATGAGGGAGTCTGCCCTCTCCAGTTAGAAAAACCACCTATATTTATTTATATTAGACAATTAATATGTTGATTATTCTTTGTATTCATTAAAGCACTGCTTCACTCCCCAACTCTCCAACCACACCAAGGACCTCTATTATGAAAACTTAAGATTTTTACTTGAAAAAAGAAGTCTATTAACTCTTAGTTTAGAATCCAATTAATCTAAATTAGTGATTGTATTTTATAGTGTAAAATAAATATAAACTCTAGTCAAAATAATTTTTCTTTCTTTATTTAATATTGCTTATCCCTCAAGGAAAAAATTTCCCACTAATACTTTTCTTCAGATAAACATATTAATCTGTCAGGATTTAATAGAAGACTAAACTTTTCTCCCTAAACAACCCGTCAAACTAATAAATTGCATTAGTATCTCTCTATATATTGTCTCCCCAGAGTAGACATCACCATTGGCAAAGGAGATACAGAAAATACTTTTTAGAAATCTGATAAGAATAGAATCTGGTCTTGGAGAAATAATACAGCAACTGATTACATTTGTATAAGAACAATTTTCCTTGAGAATGAAGAAAAATAGTTGTAGATTACCATGTCTTTATTGATGCAACTGAAGGGAATGACAGCCATAATGCATAGCTCTAAGTAGGTACTCACCAAACATTAGTTGGTATTATTGTTTTGGCTAGCTTTTTTGGTTCTTGTATCCCTTGGTTTTCTCTAATTTCAGACCAGGTACAACTGGGACTAGGGGGCTTTGTAAGACATCAGGTTGAATTTCCTAACCTGTTCACCCCACTACTAACTGGGCAGCTAAAAAAATAAGAACTCTTCCATTTGAGACTAGTGAAAATGACAGATTCTTTCCCTTCATAAAAGGCAATATATCCCCCTCCTGCCATAAGTCCCAGTTCACTAGTAAACACATAAAGTCATTTATGAGTTCTGTAAATTTGTTGAAAAGTCAAGGTTTGCTGTTCCACGTAGTTTAATTTTCCCAGATGTATTTCGTACATTCATGTCTGAGTATGGGGAAGTGTTCTTCTCTGACCTCCCTCTGCTCATTTCTCATCAAATTTCATTAAAAGTTATATCCTCCTGTTGGCATTCCCCGAATGGAATGCCTGTTTCTGAAAAGATTAAGGTGAGCTTTGGCTTCCCTAGTTATGCCTAGATTGACACATTTTTCTGTTTTTCATTCATTTCCTGTTTAACACAGTTGGTGACTACTGAACTACTAGTGAATTTTCAATATAATCTTGTTTCAAGAAATGTATCTCCTCAAATGCAACAGGCATATTTATTCTAAACTTTTCTTTTTCATTCCTGCCACCAGCATTTATTTTAGTGTGTGTCTGCCCAATCCTCAATTACCTGTCACCTCAAACATTCGCTTCTTGAATGAAGTGACAACATTTCCATCCTTCCGCCTGAGTAAGGGGCTGCTTCTCCTCTCTGCCACTTTCTGTTTTAACCTGGACCGCACCTTCAAGTTGGGCTCAGAGGCTGGGGATTGAGACAAAGAAAATAGATAAAAATTAAAAATAGAGAGCCAGTTGCTCCTGTGTATAAATAGTGGCTCCCCCTTCTTTTAGTCCCTTGTCACCTCAAAGTAAAACCCGAAGCATGTAAACAAGGCATTGACCTTGAATTAAACAGACAAATATAGTACTTATTTTTATGAGATGTGTGAAATGCTTTTATACTTCTCTAAATGTAAAGTGGAAAAGGAGTTAAAACATTAGTTTTGTATTTATTTTATCTAACAGAATTGAATTGTTAGCAGGAAACTTAATCACTAAATATGTTTGGGTCAGAGTAAGATTTATTATCCTTCTGTGTCAGCCCTTCTAATTTTCTCAAGGGTGAAACTCAATAACCACAAAAACAGTGCCCTAATGTGATTTCAGGGACTCTGGCCTGACTTCTGGTAGTAAGAAGACACCTCAGTAGCATATAATTTATGTCTCATTCTGACCACTTTAAATAAAACTTTCTGTACGTTGAGGATACAATGAATTAGAAAGGAAGGGTGGCCAAATGTTAGAGCTAAAAAGTTATGAGTTAGGTTATATGTTCTGAAATACAAATGCACATTATTCATATATATGTTGTTATTTCTTCGGTTAAACTATTTAAAATAGTGATACTTTATAATTAGTCATGATTTATTGTGTTTTTAAGTAATTATCTTT